ATATGCTTGAAAAATCCATTGAAATATTTATGGATGACTTTTCTGTATATGGTTCATCATTTGACAATTTTTTGAATAATTTGAAAAAGAGCTTAGAAAGGTGTGAGGAAACAGACTTGGTTCTTAATTGTGAGAAATGTCACTTCATGGTCAAAGAAGGCATTGTTCTTGGGCATTTGATTTCAAAAAGAGGGGTTGAGGTAGATAAGGCAAAGCTTGAGGTAATTGAGAAACTACCCGAACGTACCACGGTTAAGGGAATCAGAAGCTTTTTGGGTCATGCCGGATTTTATAGAAGGTTTATTAAAGATTTTTCAAAAATTTCAAAACCTCTTTGTTTACTCCTCCAGCATGACCAAAAATTCAACTTTAACGATGAATGCATAAATGCATTCAAAACTTTGAAAAAAGCTTTGGTTACCGCACCGGTGGTAGTTGCCCCAGATTGGAACAAACCTTTTGAGATCATGTGTGACGCTAGTGATTGGGCGGTAGGTGCTGTGTTAGGGCAAAGGAAGGAGAAGGTGTTTCATTCAATCTACTACGCAAGTAAGATTTTGAATGAGGCACAAATCAATTACACCACAACTGAGAAAGAATTATTGGCTATAGTTTTTGCTTTTGAGAGATTTAGGTCCTATTTGATGGGAACAAAGGTAATTGTGCATACTGATCATACAGCCATCAAGTACCCGATCTCAAAGAAACATGCAAAACCAAGGTTGATAAGATGGGTGCTTTTGTTGCAAGAATTTAACTTAGAAATACTTGATTGGAAGGGAATAGAGAATCAAGTGGCAGACCATTTGTCTAGGTTGGAAGAACCTGAGAGAGAGGGATTAGAATTAATGACACTTTTCCAGATGAGAGAATCCTCATGATAAACCAACCTAAGACACCATGGTTTGCTGATTTAGCTAATTTTTTGGCCTGTGGAATAAAACCCTCTGAGTACACAGGTCACATGTTAAAGAAATTTTTTCATGATGCTAAATCTTATTTATGGGATGACCCATTTCTGTTTAGACTTGGTGCAGATCAGATTCTGAGAAGATGCGTGCCTGAATCTGAAGTGGCAGCAATCCTGCATCATTGCCATCATGCACCATACGGAGGCCATTTTGGAGGCCAAAGGACTGCAACCAAGGTCCTACAGTCAGGTTTTATTGGCCAACAATTTTTAAAGATTCCCATAATTTTGCACAGAGGTCCAACGAATGTCAAAGGAGTGGCTCCATTTCCAAGAGAAATGAAATGCCATTAAATGGGATACTAGAAGTTGAATTATTTGACGTTTGGGGAATAGACTTTATGGGTCCTTTCCCCCCATCAAATAATTGCCACTACATTCTTGTGGCTGTTAACTATGTATCCAAGTGGGTAGAAGCCATGGCATGTGTGTCAAATGACGCAAAAACTGTGGTTAAGTTCCTTCAAAAACAAATTTTCACACGGTTCGGTACTCCGAGGGCATTCATCAGTGACGAGGGTACCTACTTTGTAAACAATTTGTTGAAAGGGAGTTCTTGAAAAATATAATATTAACCACATAATTGCCACGGTTTATCATCCACAAACAAATGGCTTAGCTGAGCTCTCTAATAGGGAAATAAAAGGTATTTTGGAAAAAATTGTAAAACCCAATAGAAAGGATTGGGCATTTAAATTAGACGACGCTTTATGGGCATACAGAACTGCTTTTAAAACACCAATAGGTATGTCCCCATACAAGCTAGTCTATGGAAAAGCCTGCCATCTGCCTTTAGAGCTAGAGCACAAAGCATATTGTGCTATTAAAGAGCTCAATATGTCTTTGAAAGAAGCCGAAAAGAAAAGGTTGTTACAACTGTGTGTAGTGGATGAACATAGGTTGTTGTCTTATGAGAATGCCAAACTTTATAAGGAAAAGACAAAGAAATGGCATGATAATAAAATCCAGCACAGAGAATTGAGAGAAGGCCATGTGCTGTTATTTCATTCTAGACTGAAGTTATTCCCTGGAAAACTTAAGTCTAGATGGTCTGGGCCTTTTCTTATTTCTAAAGTTTATCCTTATGGAGCAGTGGATTTGGTAAACCCGGAAGATAATTCTATTTTCAAGGTTAATGGCCAAAGGGTAAAAGTGTACCATGATCCGGCAACGGTCTCAGAACAGCACTCTGAGAGCTGTGCTGCTCCCTACTAAAATCTGAAAGATCCCCCTTGGACTTCTTAAAAGTCCACCTTTGTTTGTAAATAAATTTTAATTTCATAGGTTGGTTGTGTTTTAAAGTTTTCATGGTTTGGTGTGTTTTTGAATAAAAGTTTGGTAAACTACTCATAATGCTGATGCTGCAGCATTCTAGGCCTGCAGCTCTGTGTGAACCAGGAAAAGTGGGTTGAGCTTTTATTTTTAAACTTTTCTTTTAAAAGATTGTTTTTATGGTATTGGGAAAGTTGGCGCTGGTTTTTGAAAAAGAAAGAGAGGAGGAAAGATGGGTTAAGGTTAAACCAAGGTTAAGGTCTTAGGATAGGACAAGGTAGTACAAGGAGGTACATGGTACCTTGCACAACCTCTTACACCATCATTGCTTACTTTTCAGTCAAAAGGTGAAAATTGTCACAAGATGATAGGTTGGGCTTTAAGGGTTATGTCTCAATTAATGAGAAGGCTTAAGTTTTAATGACCTTGTACTTCCTTTGTGAAACCGCTGGCCATTACCTTTTAGACCCACTAAGTGCTACTTAGAAAACCATCATTAAACCACCTTTTTCTTAACCCACCTTTTCAATCAACCACCCCCCACTATTCCTTCCATTACTCTTCCTATCACTCCAAAACCTCATCACCATCACCGGCCTAAAACCACCAGCACCGTACCTGCTGTCACTCATAAACCCTCCCCTTTTCTGCATTTTTCCATCTCCATTCTCCATCATTTGCTATCTTCAACAATGGTTAGGCTAAAGAGAGCAGCTACCCATCCCTCTCCAAGGGGACCTCTTCGAAGAAGCAACCGAAGGAGAAACACTGTTCTACCCTCAAATGCTAAACCAGAGTTGGTAAAGCTAAGTGAAAACAGTGACTCTATGTCCATGAGTGAAGAGGAGGCTGTTCCTACTCATCCACAATCGGCTGTCCCTTCATCTTCCACAATGGCCGAATCCCTTGTGCAAGAGTCAAGCCATAGAAGAGTTCAAATCAATGATCTCAATGAACCTCCTATGGATGAATCAGAACATGACATTGAGGTAATTTTCAACCCTACTCTGCTTGTAGAAGACTATGTTTCATCTGAGTCTGAGGATGATGCCACTAGGGCAGAGGACTTGGGAAGGGTTTACCTGCTTCCTTGGAATGTTGAAACCACCCATGCCCCTATTCAAGAGTTTGTTGAGACCACACCTCAAAGCAAGGACTTTGAGGTCATTGATGATTTCTTGGCCAAAATGGGGATTGATCATTCTAAACAGAGCACTGTGGAACAAACATCCATGGATGTTTTGTTAGAGGCTGTTGAAACACTAGCCTCTCCTAGTCCCACTCATGTGCAGCCTCCCTCTAAGAAGAGGAAGGCTTTGGGAAAGAAGTCCACAAAGAAAACCACTCAAACCACAGGGCCTACACTCAAAAAGAAGAAAGTTAGTGCTGTTGAAAAAGGCAAGACAGCAGCCTTAGAAGACTCTCCTAGAAGAATCACAAGGCAGTCACAGAATGCTGCAACATCCAAAGAACAGCCTGCTCCTACTTCTTCCACTCCAACAATCACAGAGAGATCCATGCTACCTTTGGAGGGCTTCAGTTCTGTCAAGGCCAAGGCTCTGTTTGAGAAATTCAAAGACAAGACTGCTTGGCCCAACAAAGGTTTTGATCATAAGAGTGTGGAAGAGTRCCCATTTATCAAAGAGGTGATTAGAAGTTTGGGATGGCAAAGCTTTTGTGAGGTACATAGCTCTTACAATCTCTCACTTATTAGGGAGTTMTATGCTGAGGTTG